AAGAGAAGAAACTAGAAAAATCTACTGTCACCACTGTCTATTCTGAATCTTCTACCAGAAAGGGACCTCCCACAAGCAGAAAAGTAATGAGGACACAGTTGAATTGAGTATTACCATCATCAAATTGGTCTAACTTATATTTATAGAATATTCCATTCAAAAGCAGTAAAACACACATTCCTCTAAATCTCACGTGGAACTTTCCCCAAGAAGGACCACATTAGCAGTGTAAAACACACACCAACTGATTTAAAAGGAGAAGATTCTGCAATGTAAACTCTCAGAACAGAGTAGAATTAAACCTGAAGTCAATCACAGAAAGATAGTTGAAAACTCTTAAAATAATGAAAGACTAAACAACCCAATTCTAAATAAAACATAAAATGAAAAATCATTAAAAACTTAAAGAAAAAAAACCTTAAAGATATTTTGAAATAAAAGAACATAAAACTACAACTTATCAAAATTTGCAGGACTGAGGGAAATCTATAGCACTGAATGCATATGAGATGTGATTTTAAAAAATACAATGAAATTTTAAATTAAAAAATACTATGGTAAAAACACATTGCCACTAATCCTCCTCAAAATATCCCACTCACCTCAAAGCTACATCCCCCTTTTCTTGCCACATCTTGGAGCTGGCCTAGCAGTACTGTGAGGGTCTTTGGTTGCACTGCCCTGCTGCCTCCATGTCCTGAGTCAATTCCAAGCGTTTCACTTTCATAGTCTTTTTGACTCTGTGGAGTAGCTAGAAGGTGCCAGAGCGGCCGACTAAGGCAGATGAGGAGGCAAGTGGTGTTTTCATAAGCCCATCTTTCTATCAGATGGCACTTGGAAAGAGCATTCACTGTGCTTTTTAATCATACCTGACAAAGGCACGCCTGCTCTGACTTTACCCTACGCATGTGGTTCAGAAGCCTTTGGAACTACCTTGCAGGAGGACTCTGGAAAAGTAGGCTGGAGCAAGTCTAAAATGATAGAAACCAAACCTTGTAGGTCAGAACTCAGAAGACTGGATTGCTGTCAGGAATGCAGACAGTGAAGGCCAAGTTCCTGAGGTTTAAATGGAATATGAGGGTTTTATTATTAAGTAAACTAAAAGCCACAGTGTGATGCTCTTGCAAAAAGAAAGAAAGAAAAAAAAAGCCTACATTTGCCCATGTCCTGAACTGTAGGAAGCTGAGTTTAAAGGTGGTGAACTCACTGAGCGGGGAGGAATTCCGAGGCAGCTGACTTTCAGGCTACGGCAGGTGCACCACAGCTGCCTTAGGCTACACTCAGAGTGAAAAATTGAGTAAACAGCAGAGTAGAATCATTTGAAAAACAAATTTTGGCCCCAAAAAGAACACCATGTAAAATTGGGTCCAAAGTAAATGTGGTTGCTGAAGAGATTAGCACCATTAAAAAAACACTAAATACTCTGAACAAGGACAAGAAGAAAGATGACTTAAGGGCATCTTAGGAATCAGCAAGACCCCACACACTGCAGGCTCAAGCGTGCAAAAGCAGCAACTGTTCCTTCAAGAGAGGCCCTGGGCTCACTGCCTGTGTAAGAGGGCTGCTTCAGGGGTTGATTTCCCAGATCCATTTCACCATCTTTAGCTACCAAAGGTACGCAGAAGCCACTGCCCCCACAACCCAAGGGTCCTGGCTCCTGTTCATGCTAGCAGCAGACTTTAACATTATCCAACTGATGCTGGCTTTACCATCATGCACAATGCAAGATTTGTGGAGTCATAGAGGTTTCCATCCAAATTTCAAACAAAGCGTGGAAGACCAGATGAGGGGCCCTTGAACGAACATTTCATGAATGTGTGAGAATAAAGCTAAAAGTACAGTGGGCACCCCAAGAAGTAGGACATGCCAGGAATGTAGAGCGTCTGCTAAGGAGAGCCTCAGGCAGTAAGTGGAGCCAGCTCAAGAGAGGCAACTAGCAGAAGCACAGGGGTGGCACCACCTGAGCCCTTGAGAACTCACCTCTCGCCATCATGTGCCTTGGAGGCTGGCTACAGAGCTACAGGAGTTAATATTTGCCCTGCTGGATTTCAGTCTTTCTTTGGTCCAGTTGTGGTATCCTCCTTTTCCTTCCCTTTTAGAAAGAGAATGTTTACCCTTTTCCATTGTACCTTGAGAGTGTGTTACTTCTTTATTTTTACAGAGGTTCATAGCTAAAAGTTTATCTCCAATTTTAGAGGATACTGACTTGTATATTTTAGCAATGCTGGGATTATTGAGACCTTAGGAAAGAGATTATCACATTTTGGTCTTATATGAGAGAGTTAGATGGAACTATGACTTTGTGTTTACTTAGAAGTTAAGTATGGTTTTAGGACAAGTGTTTGGGCAATCATTAACAAGGGGTGGGATTTGATAGTTAAACCAGATTGTCAAATAGGTTGGATTGGGAGCATCCCTAGGGGATTAGTAAAGTGTATTTCTGGATGTGCCCTGGTGGGGTTTGTGGGGTGTGACTTGGGGTCAAAATCTGGCTCCTCACCCCCTCCCATCTTGTGCTCTTTCCCTACTCTTCTTCCCATCTGTCTTGAACTAAAAAGCCTTGTTCCACCAAATCCTTCAGCTACAATGTTCCTACCTTGGAACCAGTGCGCCATGCTCTAAATCCTGCGAAACTGAGCACTAAATAAACCTCTCCTCTTTAAATTGTCAGTTAACTGGGCGTGGGGGCACATGTCTGTAATCCCAGTGCTGGGGAAGTTGAAACAGGAGGAACACTACGAGTTTGAACTACATAGTGAGACCCTGTATCAAGTAAACAAAATTAATTAATTAATTAATTAATTAAATTGATGGGCATCAGGTTATTTGTCCCAGCAACAGGAAAACCAATTTATACACAATGTTATAATACAAAAGTCAATTGCATTTTTTCTTTTTTGTGGTAGCAGGGATTAAACCCAGAGCCTTCACAATGAACTATATACCCAGCCTTTTTTGAGACAAAATCTAACTAATCTGCCCAGGCCAAGACTCAAACTTCCAATTCTCCTGCTCCAGCCTCTCCAAGTGCTTAGAATTACAGGTGTGTGACACTGAACCCAGCTCAATTGGTTTCTTACATACCATAAATGAACAATTAGAATTTAACATGAAAAATACTATGCAGTTTACCTCAACCCTAAAAAGTTAAGTGCACAACAAAACAGGATAAACAAAATCAAAGATCTGAATATATGGAGGAATGTTCCATGTTTATGGACAGGGAAACTCAAATTTAACACGATGTCAGTTCTGCTCAACTTGATCTGCAGATTAAACTCAAACCCTATGAAAATCTCAGCAAATTGTTCTGTGGGTGCTGACAAGCTTATTCTAAGCTTTATGTGGAAAAGCAAAAAGCTCAGAACAGCCAACACAATAGCATAGGAAAACAAAGTTGGAACACTGATGTCTTGGTATTTCATGACATGTTTCAAAGCTACAGTGATTAGGACAGGTGTAACGCTGGCAACAGAACAGGTAAACAGGAGTGTGGCAGGACAGAAGCCCAGAAACAGAAGACCAAGACACACCGAGTGCTCAGAGTACATAGAACCTCCTTGCCAGCTGACTCAGCCTAAGAATTTGCCACTCTTAGGGGTGCTACTCTGTCCTGGAGCTAATATGGGCAGCTCACATGGGCATGTCCCCAGCGCGACAGTGGGAGCTGCCATGCCACTTGGCTTTGGGAACTAGACTCCATATGGTCATTACAAAGAACTATGTTCCTGACTGCTTCAGGAGCTCAACGCACAGAATCAACAGGGCCCAGGCCCAGGAAGAGAGACCACCACCGCCCACTCACTGCCCAACCCCTTGACAGGAATTCCAAAGCTGGGAGTGGGGAAGGAACTGGATGGACAAGGCTCCCACGCACAAGGCTTTGGGGTGGGGAGAATTAGTTTGTTTTACTCAAGCCTAATTTCCAGGTTTGTAAAACACTAAATAATTGAAAGATGCAACTTGTAAATCTGGAGGCATGGGGACACTTGACATCCACTAGATGACAGACAAATGGCAGCTGAGAGTGGTGGGTACCAGGCGACCGATCGTAGGGCAGGTGAAGGACACAAACAGCAGGGTTGGATGGTTTTAGGCGCGGAGGGCAGGGAGTCCAAGCACCGCTCAACTCAGTGGCCCGAAGCCTTGCGGGCTGAGCCCAGGTGTGCTTTGTGCCGTTCACACTCACCCAACTACTGTGCTGGGAATTATTTCCTAGTATAAAGTTACGCCGCCCGGGTGGGTCCTCTCCCGCCCAGCGTTGTCCCCAGAGGTGGCCGAGGTAGCCCAGGCCCGGCCTCCTGCTGGGTCCCCAGGACCTCTCCCGAGGTCGTCGCTCCTGCAGAACGACTCCAGCTTCCTTACCCCGCCTCTGCGCCAGCGGGCTCCGCAGCCTGGTCTGCGAAGGTCGCCGACGTCTGAGGGCCAAGCCGCAGACCAGGCGGGGTGTGGTTAGGGGCGGGGTCGGGACGAGGCTAAGGGGTCCCATACCCGCACAACTTGAGTGGGTATGGGCGGCCAGGGCTGAGGTGCGGGTGGGACCCGTGGGGCGGAGCGCAGGCGGGACGGGAGGGGCGGGCTCTGGTTCCATCCGGGCTGGGGAGTGAGCCAGGCGGGCGGGGCGTCCTGGTTGGGCGGGGGAGGAATTGGAGTGGGTGGGTCTGGGGGCGG